CGTGTGTGTTTGTCTGACTGTGAGTGAATATTTGCGTGTTCGTGTGTGTTCGCTTTGCATTTAAATGCCTTTTGATGTGATTTTATATCGCTCGCCATGCACATATTTTGCAGTGCGTACAAACAATGAGGCCCATAAACAACAATCAATTTACTTTGTGCTTTTGTCTTGACTTCTAAAAATTCTCTTTATGTCTATGCATTTACAAATGGACAAACATACTTTTAATTATACATATATGCATATAAATATTGGGAGAGGTCAATAATTTCGCAGCAGATTTTTCGAGTGTGTAAAGCGATTAGTGTTAACTATGGAAGGCTATGGCCATTATTAAATGGTCTGAGAACAAAAGCAAAGAGAAAACAATTAGCGAGAGTAACAATGGGGAATTATTTAAATTGATTTTTGAGAGAGATCAAATATTCCTTGAAAATGAATTAATTTTTTAAATATTTTTAAAGGACCATCCACAAACGTGGATTTGAGAAAAGTATTTTTGTAAGGATCATGCGCAAATGTGGATTTCATAAATATATTTTTTCAAGGACTATCCATAAACCTGGATTTTTTAAAAATATTTTTTCAAGGACTATCCATAAACGTGGATTTTTTAAAAATATTTTTTCAAGGACTATCCATAAACGTGGATTTTTTAAAAATATTCTTTCAATGACTATCCATAAAGGTGGATTTTTTAAAAATATTTTTTCAAGGACCAAAGACGAACGTGGAATTTTTAAAAATATTTTTTCAAGGACCAAAGACAAACGTGGATTTTTTAAAAATATTTTTTCAAGGAACAACAAAAACAAACATTAATTTTTTACAAATATTTTTTCAAGGACCAAAGACAAATGTGGATTTCTTAAAAATATTTTTTCAAGGACCATCAACAAACGTGGATTTTTTAAAAATATTTTTTTAAGGACCATCAACAAACGTGGATTTTTTAAAAATATTTTTTCAAGGACCATCAACAAACGTGGATTTTTAAAAATATTTTTTCAAGGACCATCAACAAACGTGGATTTTTTAAAAATATTTTTTCAAGGACCATCAACAAACGTGGATTTTTTAAAAACATTTTTTCAAGAACCATCAACAAACGTGGATTTTTAAAAATATTTTTTCAAGGAACAAAAACAAAAGTGGATTTTTTAAAAATATTTTTTCAAGGAACAAAAACAAAAGTGGATTTTTTAAAAATATTTTTTCAAGGAACAAAAACAAAAGTGGATTTTTTAAAAATATTTTTTCAAAGACTAAGGTTCTTGAAAATTATTTTTTTTTTAAGGACTACTTTCAATGGGGATTGTAAAAAATTATTTATTTCAAGGACTATTTTAAACGTGGGCTTTTTAAAATTAGTTTTTTAAATAACTACTTATAACGTGGATTTTGTAAAACTAGTTTTTAAAGGACTACTTTTAACATGGATTGTTTAAAATTATTGTTTTCAAGGACTAATTTAAACGTGGGGTTTTATAATTAGTTTTTTAAAAGACTATTTTAAACGTATAGGTATTTTTTAGAAAATATTTTTCAAATTATCCACTATATCTACAAACGTTAATTTTTTTTTCAAAATACTAACAAACGTGATTTTTTTTAAATACTCACAAACGTGGATTTTTTCAAAATATTCACAAACGTGGATTTGTTCAAAATATTCACAAACGTGGATTTTTTAAAAATATTCACAAACGTGGATTTTTTAAAAATATTCACAAACGTGGATTTTTTAAAAATATTCACAAACGTGGATTTTTTAAAAATATTCACAAACGTGGATTTTTTAAAAATATTCACAAACGTGGATTTTTTAAAAATATTCACAAACGTGGATTTTTTAAAAATATTCACAAACGTGGATTTTTTAAAAATATTCACAAACGTGGATTTTTTAAAAATATTCACAAACGTGGATTTTTTATTAAAATATTCACAAACGTAGAAATATTCACAAAAATGGATTTGTTAAAAGTATCCAAAATATCCACACAATAAACGCGGTTTTTTTAAATGTCCAAAAACGTGCATTCTTTTCAAGGACCAATTAAAACCGTAGAAAATTTTTAAAAAAATCCACAGAAGTGGAGTTTTTTAAATTTTTTTTCAAAGAATTTTTTCTAGATTTTTTTTAAATATCCACAAACGTCGATGTTTTTAGACATATTTTTAAAAATAATCACAAACTTGGTTTTTGTCGATTTTTTTTAATTATTCTTTTGATAATTCTAAAGTGTAACTTTCCGAACTTTTATTTTAATTATTTTGCATTTCAAATCTTCCGTGACCTCTCTTCCCCAAAAAAAATGTACAAGTACCAATATCTTTCTTCAAAATATTCCAAAATATCCCATCAATTTGCCATTCATGTATTAACACATTTACATGATATCTAATTACATAATACATTTCCTGTCATGATATCGAATATTGTCATTATAAATGTGCCCAGTATCAGATTGACCTATATGTTAATTTCAAAGAACATGATTTTGCTTTCAATTGACGCATACACACACACATATATATATATATATACTGCACACATCCTTAAATATATTGTCATGATTTTGCCATACCCATCCATATCTTTACACAAATTAATTACAATTTCAAAGGAAACGTAGAACCGACAACGACGACGACCTTCTGGCATGAATGTGTCACAACGCCATCATTTTGCTGTGGCAGCAACAATCTTTTAACATAATCAAATTATCCGGCTGGAATTGAAGCCTGATAATTGTATTCGATAAAGACACTACTACCACTACTAATACACTTACAATTCATGTAGATGTAGAAAATTGTAGGGAATTACATAAATTAAGAGATATGAAGAGATTTTTGGGAAGATATGAAGTGCTCGATGCGGGAAGATATGAAGGACGGAAAGACGTCAGATTGGAAAATAAAATTATTTTCAACTGCAAGTCTTTTAATAATCGAAAATCAAAAGACTCGAAGGGCTCTCTTCCGAATGTTTGTAAAAAAACACCTTCCGTCTTCTGCCCTATTGAGACTGTCTATGAAACTTCTGTAAAGCATCTTTTCAGGAGATCTATAAAAAAATCCTACAGATCCTCTAAGGAGCTTTTAAATTATAAACATAAATTAAATTATAAACGTCCTTAAAAAATGCACGTTTGCTTTTGGTCCTTGAAAAATATTTTTAAAAAATCCACGTATGTCTATTGTCCTTCAAAAATATTTTTAAGATATCCACATTTGTCTGCGATCCTTAGAAAAGTAATTTTAAAAAGTCCACGTTTGTTGATGGTCCGTGAAAAAATATTTTTAACAAGTCCACGCTTGTCTTTGGTCTTTGAAAAAATATTTTTAAAAAATCCACGTTTGTTTTTGGTCTTTAAAAAAATATTTTTAAAAAATCCCCGTTTGTCTATTGTCCTTGAAAAAATATATTTAAAAAATCCACGTTTATGGATAGCCCTTGAAAAAATATTTTTAAAAAATCCACGTTTATAAATAGTCCTTGAAAAAATATTTTTAAAAAATTCACGTTTATGAATAGTCCTTGAAAAAAATATTTTTAAAAAAATCCACGTTTGTCTTTGGTCCTTGAAAAAGTTTTTTTTTAAATTCCACGTTTATGAATAGTCCTTGAAAAAATATTTTTAAAAAATCCACGTTTATGAATAGTCCTTGAAAAAATATTTTTAAAAAATTCGCGTTTATGAATAGTCCTTGAAAAAATATTTTTAAAAAATCCACGTATGTGAATAGTCCTTGAAAAAATATTTTTAAAAAATTCACGTTTATGAATAGTCCTTGAAAAAATATTTTTAAAAAATCCACGTTTATAAATAGTCCTTGAAAAAATATTTTTAAAAAATCCACGTTTATGAATAGTCCTTGAAAAAATATTTTTAAAAAATCCACGTTTATGAATAGTCCTTGAAAAATATTTTTAAAAATCCACGTTTATGAATAGTCCTTGAAAAAATGTTTTTATGAATAGTCCTTGAAAAAATGGAATTTGAGAATGTTAACATTTATTTTTTAAATATTTTTTAATTTATTTTTTCTTCTGGGTTTTTCTAAACACCCGTCAAGTTGCCCATAACGACTCCCCCTACGTTAGCTATGAATACTCTCTAGTTATAATCCGATTATTAAAACCTACGTTAAAGACAGATATAAAGTCTTTAATACCAGTTTCAAGAGACACACGGTTTTCCACCAACCTTCCCACCACGGTCCTTTTATAGGGAGGAAACTAAATATTCCACACTTTCATATTGCAAATAATTAAATTATAATTTCTCTCAATCTCTCTCTTCATTTCGTACTCTCTGAAGCTAAATGTCATAATGACTCCATTATCATATTCTGCAACATTCCAAAATTTATTAATTACCATTATATGGCATTAGTTAATTATTGTGAAGATATTTACACACATTCCAGTAATGTGGTAAAATATTTTGAATGCATTTTGCCTAATGTTTGAAAATCGACTATTGAATGGGCAATGTGTGAAGGAGAATTTTGAATAATTGGACAAATAGAAAATCGGTTACCTAAAGCATTTTTAGACAGTTCTGTCGGATTAGGAGGACATTTTTTTTTTAATTTTCAAGATTTTTTGTGAATATCGGTTTCTAGGGTTCTCAAATTAATTAATTCATGGCTCTTTAATAACTAGAACTTCAAACTTTCTCTGAAACTTCTTTCGTGGAGAAAGATTCAAAATGTCCAGTATTACTTACATATATTTATTAAGCCATGTTAAATACACTGCCCCCTCCCACATGCATTCATGCATATCATACCCCACTACATTTACTTTTCAATTTCGACTGAATGTGAAAATTACTTCAAAATTCCCCGAAACTATTTGCCAATTTATTTACATTTCAGAATGTAATCACACAATGCACACAAATAAAAGTAGCTTAAGGGAGCTTATACTCTCCTGCCGAAGGCTTATAGCTATAGATGTAATAATCTTTCGGTAATATACTTACGGTCACTTGTCCATTCGGTGTCTCTGGCGGTTCCCAGGTAATGACCATTGTCGATGAGGATAATGGTCGGACTTGAACATTACGTGGGGCACTTTCCATTTCTGAAATCAAATTAGACAAATAGAGAGTTAGAATATGGAAAGTTTAAGAGAGATTAAATAAAAAAGATTTTTAAATGTTATATGATGAAAATGTGTGTGTGTGAGTGAATAAAACTGAGTGGGTTTGGTAAACATCTTGTAAAAATTTTTTTAATCTTTGTAAAAACGAGTTTTGTTAAATTAAACACAATTTTTAGCCCGTATCAGGATTTTTTATATATATTTTTTTAAGATTTGATATTATAGCTTCATAATTTACAAGAGGATATTATCTAATATTTCCATAAAAATCATTCTTTACACAAAAACTTATAATAATAATAATAATAATAAATAATAATAATAATAATAATAATAATAATAATAATATAATAATAATAATAATAATAATAATAATAATAATAATAATAATATAATAATAATAATAATAATAATAATAATAATAATAATAATAATAATAATAATAATAATAATAATAATAATAATATAATAATAATAATAATAATAATAATAATAATAATAATAATAATAATAATAATAATAATAATAATAATAATAATAATAATAATATAATAATAATATAATAATAATAATAATAATAATAATAATAATAATAATAATATAATAATAATAATAATAATAATAATAATAATAATAATAATAATAATAATATAATAAATAATAATAATAATAATAATAATAATAATAATAATAATAATAATAATAATAATAATAATAATAATAATAATAATATAATAATAATAATAATAATAATAATAATAATAATAATAATAATAATAATAATAATAATAATAATAATAATAATAATAATAATAATATAATAATAATAATAATAATAATAATAATAATAATAATAATAATAATAATAATAATAATAATAATAATAATAATAATAATAATAATAATAATAATAATATAATAATAATAATATAATATATAATAATAATAATAATAATAATAATAATTATAATAATAATAATAATAATAATAATAATAATATAATAATAATAATAATAATAATAATAATAATAATAATAATAATAATAATAATAATAATAATAATAATAATAATAATAATAATAATAATAATAATAATAATAATAATAATAATATAATAATAATAATAATAATAATAATAATAATATAATAATAATAATAATAATAATATAATAATAATAATAATAATAATAATAATAATAATAATAATAATAATAATAATAATAATAATAATAATATAATAATAATAATAATAATAATAATGATAATTTCGTAATTCTATACCCTCTCCATTAATTATTATCATTTTTACGTTTTAAAAATTGAATTAAATTGAATTAAAAATTAAATTAAACGTTTCCAAATGTTTACAATTTGGATTTGTTTGTTTTGCAAAAAAAAAGATGTTCCCAAGAAAACTGTTTAAATTTTCCATAAAAAGGATAATTTTTCACAAACAAATCCTAATATAACCAATTTTATGCGAAATCATAAATTCCGATAAATTTCATATTCATATCAGGCTTCTTCTTGAGAGAAATATTTAGGCATAGGAAGTTATGACAGATAAAATTATTGAAAATTGTAATCCTTTGTGGGTGAGGTACCAGAAGGGGTTCGCAGATATATATCACCTTCTCAACAGATATTGTGTTGACAAAAATGTTTGTATGTGTGAAATCTGAAGAGAGTTGGATGCTTATTTCGCTTCTTTTCAAAATATAGAACCCTATGTTGGGGAGGTACCAGAAGGAATTGGCAGATCTCCACATTCTTTATAACAGATTCTGTCTTGATAGACATACTCAGAAGTGCCAAGTCTATGTAGAATCGGATGTTAATTTCGCGGAGGTACTTAATGAAGAGGACCGAAGTTGTCCATTTTCTCACCTGACCTAGAACTGATGCAAATATTAGGATTTGCAACATTGGAGCAAAATCGGATTATTGATTTCTCTTTCTGTCCAGAAAGTTTTTTTTTTTTTGAGAATTTCGGCCTTTTGTAGCAGAGGAGGTACTAGAACCGAACTAGATATAAGTTTGAAAAAAATATAACGATGTACCAAGTAGACAAATCGGATACTCCGTTTGAGAGTTATCGTGTGCACCAGGCAGACAGACGGACGGACGGACACTGCTAGATCGACTCCAAATGTCCTGAAACGGATTTGGTGCAAACAGACCTATAGTCTAAAGCCGTTATTCGGAATAGGCACGTTTTGACCATATCAATTGATATATATACCCTCTGTAGCCATATGGCTGAGGGTATAAAAACTATGCATGTGAAAATTTTCCGATGATACAAAGCAAACTTCTCAAATGGCTCATTCCAAATTGCATTTTCTACAAAAAATTTTGATTTTTTATTTTCCAGGTTTTGAAAATGATGTATTTTTTCGTAATAATTTTCTTTTTAATTTTTTATAAAAATGTTTTTTTTTTCACCGAAAACTTTAAAAATACATCAAGTAAAAATTAAATTAAAAATTTCATTGCAAAATATACTTGTACAAAATTCCAAAAGAAGCTCTCCCAAGTTTCTATAAAAATCGATTTTTTTCCATGGAAATTAAATGTATTTTCAACAGAATATTTTGTATATATTTCGTGAATGAAATGCTTTTATGTATTTATTATAAGTTCTTAAATTTTTTTATAACTCAGATTTTCCTTATTTTAAGACCAAAAGATCCTAAGGAAAATGTTGAAAATTTTTCGAGAGAAATTATTTAAATTTACAAAATTTCTTTTAAAAAAATTATTTTACAAAATTTAAAAATTAATTTTTTTTTAAAAAATTATTTTTTTTTAAATTAAAATTTTTTGCAAATTTTACTTTTAATTGAATATAGTGTATACAAAAAATCATTAATTCCTACTTTCTTTTTATTTATTTTCAGATTCTCATCGCAGATTTTCCACCACATGGAATCAATTTGGCAGGATATGGAATCAAGTATTCCCGAACAACAAACATCCCCGAACATTCTCAAAAAATATTATAAAAATTATATTTTTATATCGATATTTAATGCTAATTTATTTATTATTATATATTATAATTTCGAATAAATGAATAAATAAAGAACCCTAGAATATAATATTTATAATTTTTACCTTGTTTTATTTGGAAAAATGGTATTTTATTTATTTAGCAATGCTTCTTATGAAGAAGTTAAAAAAAATCTGAAGTATAGCCAACAAATAAAAAAAAACTGAAAAAAATATTCTGGCCTTAAAATTATTAATTAATTAATAACACACAATAAAAACTTTCAGGGAATTTATTAATATTCACATCATTTGAGTGCAAAATAGGTATGGGATCCATATTATTCAAGATATCTGCACAAAATATCCTCAGATACCAAAAAATAAAACACTTCATAAATCAGAGAAGAATTTATTGAATAAAATTTAATTAAGAAATCCTAAAAAATATCCTGCACGGAAGGGAAGAAAATGGGCTTGATTATCATCAGAATTAAGCTAATATTGAAATAAGTTTAATCCTGATTCTGTTTAAACGGAAGAAACAAAAAATAGGTAAAAGTTAAACAAATATAAAAAATTAAAAATTATTAAATCAGGGACTTTATTAAAATAAATTTCATAACTTGAGCGCAAAATAGGTATTGAATACCTATTATTCAAGATATCTGCATAAAATGTCCTTAGAGACCAGAAAAACAAACACTGCATAAAAAATCAGAGAAGAATTATTTATTGAATAAATTTAATTTAGACATTCTAAAAAAATATCCTGCACGGAAGGAAGAAAATAGGATTGATTATCAGAACTGGACTAAATAAATATTGAAATAAATTTAATTATAAAGTTTAAAACCCCTCATAAAAATATCCGGAACGGAAGGAATAAAGAAATAAATAAATAAAAAAAAATAAATGAATGGATTAAAATTTAAAAAGATATAAAAAATTAGAAAAAACAGTTTTTTTAGGGAATTTATTAAAATAATTTACATAATTTGAGTGCAAAATAGGTATTGAATCCCTATTATTCGATCGATATATCTGCTTAAAATGTCCTTAGAGACCCGAAAATCAAAATTTCAGTTTTTCTCCCTTTAAAGTTGCCAATTTCCAATGTGTGCCAATTTCGAAATACCAGGCGAACAGAATTTCCAGCAGGTGGATGAAGAATTTATTTTTGCAAAATAGTAGGAGTCACCCTGTGGCTAATTATGACAAATTAGGTTATGTGAATTATACTTTTAGGCGCGTAAATTAAATCAGTTACCGTAAGAAGTCCCATATGGCTGAATTAAATCTAAGTTCCTAAGAGTATGCTTTGAAATCCTTGGTTTGCGTTTCAAGGTGACAGGGTGTCTCCAACAAAACCAGAGGACAATAGAATTGGATTTATTTTCTAATGATTTAAGGTAACAGGAATGTGACGCAAGAATACTTACCACCAATTACCACAAGCAAATTAAAACAAATTAATTTAACAGAAATAAATTGATTTGGTACTTTTTTTTGTGGCGTTAAAAGATTTTATTTCACAATTATTGGCCCGATTACAGGCAATAGAATTTATTATAGAAATTGAGTTACAGGAAAATACCGGAAAAATATAACACTGAATTGAGGATTTCAAATTTAATTGAAATTCAAATTTATTGAGTATTTGTTTTTTTAACACGAAAATTTACAATACTGAATTGCGTATTTAAAACAAATGTTTTCTACTCCTTATAAAAATACTTAATTTTTTATAAATATTTTACAAGAAAAAAAATCGATAATTTTCTTAACTTGATGTTGAAGGACTTTCTCCCCCAAAATTGTAGATTTGTGCGAACATTTTTTGTGGGACTACAAGGCAAAAAAGCATAGGAATATTTGAAAAAATTTCTAGCCATCTATCGGCAAATTTTAAGGTCATCCTGGTAAACTTTTCATGGAACTTTCCACCAACATTTTTTTTCAGGGACTTTCTGGTACAAAGACAAGTT